ACCCACCCCCCAACCTCGTTGATCCGACCAGCCATCTGATTCCCGGTGGCGCGTTGACCCTGCCTCTGATTTTCAGCACGGCTTTCCACCCCCAGCCAAGGACCCCATGAGTTGGCCTGCCGCCCCAAGGGGCAGACGCGCTCGGCGCGCTGCTTCACGCGCTGCTTCATGGGCTGGTTCATGCGCTTTACACAATCCCACGTGTGCCTTGCGCACTCCTCTCGGAACAGGCCTTCCTGTGTCTTTCATGATCTGCTGTGCTGCTGTCTTTTTGGGTAACAAGGGAACCATCCCGGCCCGAGGCTGCAGACTGCCCCCTCGGGTGGGCCCCCGCCAGGGTGAGGGGTGGCAGGCAGCTCGGCCAGGGTGGGTGGGGGGTGGAAGCTCGGCCAGGCCGGCGGTTAATGCATGTCGCACCGCGGGGTGCCAAGCGTCTCGCGCATCTGCCGGCAGCGCAGCGCCTGGGCCATGCCTGTATCACAATGCCTGGCATCGTCCAGGTGCCGCTTGGCGGGCAGCTGGCTGCGCGGCGATGCGCTTGCCATCCGCGCCGCCCGCTCCCTTTCCTCTTCCTACGACTCGCGACGCACCCGCACCTGAACCAGGTCCTTCAGATGGCCCTCCCCACGGGGCGGCGCATGGCACTGCGCAGGGGCGTGAGAGGGTGGGGCAACGGCGGCTGAGGGGTCGCGCGGAGCGCTGCAGCACATTCTCCCCATTCCCCGCCTGGCAGCTCCACCCGCCGGCGGTGGCAGCAGCGGCGCAGGCAGCAGCCAGCGGCAGCAGCCCGCGGCGGGCACGAGGTGCTGGGCAGGCAGGCGGGGCCGGCGGCGCCGACCGGCCCAGCTGCTTCCACTCACACGGCGGCACTTGGCTCCGTGATAGCAGCCGCCGGAGGACACATGCTCCCAGGGGCACTGGGGAGGGAAGCGGAGGGCGCTGCAGGCAGGCGCGGCCGACAACCCGGCAGGGAGCGCACAAGTCAGCGACACGGCTGCAGCAGCGCTTGCACGACATACATGTGTATGCGCAAAGTGGCTGAGCCGGGTGATCCTGCAGGGAAGGACCCTCTGGGACTGGCCCCACCCGACCAGCCAGCAGCTTTGGCAGGACGGGCAGCCGGGCACCTGGTGGCGTAGGGGCGCAGCTGGAGGAAGCCGTGACTGAGCCAGGCGCAGTCACGAAGGTAGCGGCCGCAGAACTCCTCAAAGCTATGAACCGCCTGGGGGAACGGGCAGGGCGGAGCGGCATAGGACGAGGATGAGCGCCGGCGCATGCATGTTGTGGCAGCGCGTAGCGATGCATGGTGTGACCTGGCGGGCCCTTTGCCAGCAGGCATGCCAGAGCCCGCCCTCAACAAGCGAACACCCACCAGCGCCTGCATGGCTGGATCCAGGCCCGCCCCCACGTCTGCTGCCACGGCGGCCTGAAGCTGGCTGCACAGGGAACGCGGGCGCAGCAGGCAGCCTGGCTGGCCGAGCAGAGCATGCCAAGGGCACTGGCAGGGTCCACGGCGCGCACAGCACGCCAGCCAGGGCCGGGCAGGCACACCCGACAGGCCGGCGGTACATGCGGGACGGATCCTCCATCAGGCAGCGCAGCACGCGGTGCTTCAGTTCTAGGAACCCGGCTGCACCTGCACACCGCGGGCCGGGCAGCCAGGTGGCACGCTGCCGTCGGCGGCGGCATTGATGGCCACACCACAGAGCAGCAACAACACATGTGCGTACACAAGAGTGCCGACCAGGCGCGCACGCGACTCGGATTGCAAGGCAGCTGCGTGAAAAGGCCCCGCGCTGCACACCTGGGGCGGGGCGGAAGGTGGCGCAATCTGGGCCGGGGGTGAACAGGTGAGGCCGGAGCAGGAGGAAGCGCCGGAACGCGGCCGCCTGCATACGGAAAGAGGAAGAGACGGGCGGCAGCGGCTCGTGGCGGGCATTGCAGGAAACGGCGCTGAGATCTGGTGCCAACATCTGGCACTTGCGAGCATGGCAGGGGGGCTGCCTGCGCTGCCGCTGCACTCACGGGCAGCTCGCCCGCAGCCTGCAGGTAGCAAGGGAGGCCTGGCGAGCTCTGCGCCGCTTCCAGCAGCGATGCGTGCGCCTGCGGCGCTCTCTGCATGAGCTGCAGGCAGCGCAATTCCACAGCCAAGGTCGGATCCTGCGGACAGGCAGGCAGGCAGGCAGGCAGGCCGTAGGGCAGGCTGGTTAGCGAGTAGTCGAGAGCGCAAGAAGGGGGTGGCATGTCCAGGTGTGCGGTGTTGCAATGCATGCGGGCGCGAAACTGCAGCAGACCGTGCAAGGCAAGCTCACCAGGAGCCCCCCGTCGCTGTGCACAGCGCTGCAGCCCAGCTCTCCCGCCCTCAGCACTGCACCAGCCCTGGCAATCGCGCCTTCCAGGGAACCATCTGTGAATGGCGCCCCAGCCGCCCTGGCAGCCAGGGCCTGGGCCTGCTGCACAGCCGACATCAGCGTGCCGGCTCGGCTGGCGGTAGCTGCTCGGCTGGCTTCCGCCGTAACCACTGGCACGCCTGCAGGGGCTGTCGCTGCCACTCCAGCGTCGCCTGCTTGCACCGCACCCGGAAAGGACCCATCCGCTGCATCTGCTCCTGCTGCTCCAGCCTGTGGATTCACCGCATCGTCCTGCCCGCAGCCCCTGCTGCAGCTGCGGCTGTGCTGCCGATTGTTGGTGTCCCTGCTCCAGCTGCTCCTGCTGCGGCTCCTGCTCCTGCTGCTCCTGCCGTGGCTGCTGCGGCGGTCACGAGAGCGCCTGCTCCTGCTGCGGCTCCTGCCGCGGCTGCGGCGGCGGCTGCTGTGGCGGTCACAAGAGCGCCTGTGCCTGCTGCGGCTCCTGCTGCGGCTGCAGCGGCGGCTGTGGTGGCACGTGCGGGCACTCCTGCTCCTGCCGCGGCTCCTGCTGCGGCTGTGGTGCTGACTCCGCGCGCCCCTGCCCTCGCCCTGGTTCCTGCCCCTGCCGGGGCGCCCGTCGGGCAGTGATTCAGAGGCCTGCAGCCTGGCAAAGGCCAGATCCTGGGGAGAGCCCTCGCCGCGAGGTGGCGCATGGCACTGCAGCGGAGGAGGCGGCTAAAGGATGGATGTTGGAAACTTGCAGAAAGTTCAACCTTCAACTCTTCCACTCTTCCTTGCAAGCAATCCACGGCCCAGGGCCGAACAAGCTCTGCTCTGGCGCAGGCGCACACGTGCCATGTTTGGCCGATGCGGCAGCAGGGCCAGCTCGCTGCTCACATAGAGGCACGCGCCCCGCCTCCGGCAGCCGTTATGCTGGATGTGCTGGAAGCGGCACTGCGCCTGGAAGGTGATGCCACGACCGCCAGCGAGCCTGCAGGCGCTGACCCAGGGGCAGGGCGTGTGCAGTGGGCAGGCACAGGCTGCCATGCTCTCAGCTACAGAGCAACAGAGCCACCGAGCTGGGCCCATCTCAATGGCAGGCGCCTGGCTGGACACAAGCGCTTACGCGCCGCCGCTCGCCTGGTGTCGAATGGGCGCAGCTGGCAGTGCTCGTCGCCGTCCGTCCAGATGCAGTCCGCCAGGTACTTGATGCAGAAACCGACAAAGTCCGCCCGCGCCTGCAGGCGCAGCAGCACATCGTGGCAGTGCATGCGTCGGAGACGTGAGAGCAGCAGCATGGCGGCAGCAGCCTGCCCGCCTGCGGGGCAACCCACCATCTTTTGCATCTGGCGGCTCATTCCAGCAGGTATGTCGACTGCCTTCTCCAGATCCCTGCAGACAGGAGGAGGATCGGGGCCTCAGAGTTGGACGTGACAAGCGGCACGGCCAGTGCGCTGCTGGAGCACAGCACGGCAGTTTGCACACGCGTGCTCCACGGCAGGTGCCAGCAGCAGCGACAGGCAGCTGGCTGCTCACGTGGCTTTGGCCCGCCTGAGGAGGTTGGCCTCCTTTAACTCATCCAGCACGGCACGCTTGTACTCAAGGAATGCGGCGGCGCCTGCGACGGCGGCAGCGGCGGCGATGCGCCCAGTGAAGCAGTCGCCTCGCCCACACACCGACGCAAGCGTCCGCCCGCAGCCGGGCCCCAAGGCCTGGCGCAAAGGATCAGGCCGGCAGCGCTGCTCAAAACGCAAGCGCTGCGGCCACACGCTGCCAAGCCGCCTGCCAGCCAGCAGCTCACCCGGCACTGGAAGGATGCCAGCAGGGCCGCGAACAATATCAAAGAGGTGCGGGCGTGATTGCAGGAAGGACCAAAACACCTCCTGCGCAGTGTCCCCGGGCCGCAGCGCCAGGTAGGGCGGCAGCCGGCTCTCGCCGCGCCGGCTGCCGCGGCGCACCTGCGCCAGCAGGGTGACGGGGGACATCGGCCGCCCCTGCCCCCACCGCTGCAGCACCTGCAAGCACCGCCGCTCCAGGCACCAGGACGGGTCCTGCAGGCAGGCAGGGCAAGGCAGGGAGGGGAGGAGGCACCAGCGATGTGGCAGGAATGCTGCACAGCACCGGCGACTCTGCCCCTGGGCTGCGGCTTGGCTCCACCACGCACGACACTTGTGACGCATTCGCAAGCCAACCGCACGCCCTCCCGCCAGCCTTACCCAAAAGTCTGCCACGGCTGCATCAAGCTCTGCCTCCGCCTCCCCCACGCCAGCGCGTCCGCTGCCCAGGCGCCGCGCCTTGTGGCGCTCTCCTCTGGCGGCAGGCTGCCGGTCGTCCAGGCGGGCGATGGGCTGAGCTGCAGCGCGCTTCTTCCCCCGCCCCTCGCCCTCCTCCTCCTCCTCCACCACCACCACCACCTCCTCCTCTTCCTCCCACCTGCTGCGCTTCCTGACCATCGCCTCTGTCTCCTCCAACGCCGCAGCCCCCGCCTCGAGCCGCTGCGGCCGCCCCTGCTGCTGAGGTGGCGGGTCTGTGCAGAGCGCCAGCACCAGCAGGGCCTGCTGCTGCCCGGCCGCACATGCTGCTGCCGCGGCCTGCCGCTGCAGCTCAGCCAGCAGCGGGTGCGCACCCGGCTGCCGCTCCAGCTGCTCCCGCACCACGCTGAGTGGGGCCGCCAGCAGCTGCCGCGGCTGCTCCTGTGCGGAATGCCAGGATGGCAGCCCAGGTGCAGGCAGCAGGTAGCCACAGGACTTGGCCTGAGCAGGGAGGAGGGGAGGTGTGGAATGGAGTGTCAACCAGCCAGAGCGGGCAAAGGCGGGTCGGAAGCTCAGGTGGGCGGGCAAGCCCAAGGGGAGTGGAGGGGATGGCAATGGGCTGGCAGCAGCGGAGGGGCGACCGCCGGCAGCAGGGCTTGCCTCCAAAATGTCCAGCACCGCTTCAAAGGTGTCGCCGGGGTCTCCATCCGGGGCGGCAGGGCACAGCAGGCAGCAGGGTGCGGCCAGCTCGCGCCACGTCTGCACCGCCGCCGCCAGCTCAGCGCCCTGGCACTCCTCTGCCAGGTTGAGGCTGCAGGACAGGCAAGCAGGGGAGGCAGAATGGTCGGCTCCTGCTGCGAAGCTGGCATTCCTGGTGCCAAGAACAGACAGCAGCAGCCCCCTTGCCTGCATCCTGGGGGCAGCAGGCCGCTGCCACCGGGCGCGCCGTCGGGCCGCCACCACCGCCCGCGCACCGGCACTGTTCTGCCGTCGCCGCTGTTGTCGTCGTAGCTTTCAAAGCAGACCTCCAAGCGCACTTCCTCCCAGCGTCTGATGGGAGAAGGGCCCGCCGCCGGTGTCAGCGCCCGAGCCTGGGAGCCGGCACACCGTAGGGGCGAAGCAGCCAGCGACGGTGCTGCACCTTGCGCGGTGCTATTTGCCACCTCCTGCCCGCCCTCCTCCTCCTCATCATCATCGCTATCCTGCAGCAGCTCCAGAATCCCAGCCTGCTGCTGCTGCTGCTGCTGCTGCTGCTGCAAAGGTGGCGGCGGCCGCTGGCCGTACTGCTGCAGCGCCAGGCCCGCCTGCTGTTGGTGTGGCGGCGAGGTGTGCGCATGGCGGTCAGCAGCATCCATCACAGGGGTTGTTGAGTTCATGGGCGGCGCCGCTGGATCCATGGCGGCCACAGCTGCTGCCGTGGCCGCTGCACACGTTGGCGGCACCAGCGGCTGCTGCCAGCTCGCTGGCTGGTGGGTTGCCCAGGGCGCTTCGCTGGGGGCACAGATGTTTGAAGCCGCCTGCCGCTGCTGCCGCCGCTGCCGCTGCTGCTGCTGCTGCTGCCTCCGCAGGTGTAGGCGAGGGTCGGTTGGCGGCTGGAACTGGGCTGGCGCCGGCGGCGCCGGTCCAGGAGGCATGGTCTGGTGGTGGTGGTGGTGCTGCTGCTGCAGGGGCGGCGGCGGCAGAGTGGCTGCGGCTGTTCTGATGGATGGGAAGTAGCCCAGAGGCTTCTGTCCATCCTGTAGCTCTGCAGCCAGAGCCGCCACCGCAGCAGGCGGCGGCAGCGCCGAGCCAGCCGAAGCCGCATCCCTGCATGGCACCAGCCGGATGGCAGCAGTGGGCACGCGGGCAGCCCAAGGCGCCAACCTCTGGTTTGTGGCGAGCAGAGGGATGGTGTGAGCAGGCCGCTTCCAGCCATGGGGCAGGAGCGTGTGCCGGCGGGCAGCATGACCGCATCAGCGCACCTCTGCAGCTTTGCAGGCCACTTTGTGGCCAGGCAGTGCTGCCAGCGAAGCTCCGCTACCTGCGTCAGTGGGCACAAGCACAAGAGTGAGCGCCTTGGGATACAGCAGGGCAGGGTGGAGCTGCCGTTGAGGGTGCACACAGCCAGGCAGCGCGGCACACACACGCTCGGACACCCCAGCTAAGAGGCGCCCGGGCCAACCTCAGCCACGGTCCAGGGCTCCGCGCCCGCCGTCTGCTGGCACTCCGAAAGCTCCCGAAGCTCTGCATCCGTGGGAGCGCCCTCCTCGGCGTCGGGCCGGGCGCCAGACACATGCCTGGGGGGGCACTGAAGCATCGTCTCGCCCTGCACAGCAGCAGGCCGGCGCCGTCAGCGGCAGCTCTATCGGGGGCAGCTGGTGCCCTGCTCCCACTTTCCACTCCCCATCCAACGGAAGGTGCAAGGCCCTGCGCCCGCTGCACGGCGGGGCGTGTGCCGGCACATTCCGGAGCCGCGCTGCCGCTTGCCTGGAGGCGCAGCGTGCCATCGGGCGTCAGGCAGTCGATCTGTCGCAGGATGTAGGTGCGGTTCTTGATGCGAACGACCAGGCCGTGCAGCAGGCTCAGCCCTGTGCCTGCAAGCCGAGGGTAGCACAGCGGGGTGGGTGGGTGGGGTGGGTGAGCGTGCGGCAGGGCTTGCACAACCAACACTGCTGCACTGTGGCGCCACGCATTTGGCCGTCCACCCTCCCTCCCACCCCACGCCGCTCATCAGCCCCGGCCCACCTTGCAGCGCGCGCTCCAGAGGCAGCACAGCCAGCAGCTGCTCGCGGCTCAGCATCACTCGACGCAGATTGTGGGCGTCATAGAGCGCCGGCGAGCCACCTTGGGAGCGGAAGGCCGGCGGCAGCAGCTGCGGCCGCGTGGCGCCGCAGGCTGGCAGCGCCCACCCGCCGCTGCCGCTGCCCTGCAGGCTCGCCGCCGGGCTCGCCAGGCTGCTGCTGCTGCTGCCATGCAGGATCATTCTGCTGTTGCGTTGCCGGTCTCACGCGCTGCGCATCCCCCGGCCTTCCCGGCCTGCCGCAGCCCGGTGTCCACAGCTTCCCCGCAACACACCGCGCCAAGGAAGGATCAGCCAAAGAGTCGGTGCAGAAAAGGCGGCGCAGCTCCCGCTGGCACCAGTGGCCGCAGCAGCGCAAGCTGCGGGCGGTGGCGACGGCAGCGGCGGGCGGAGGGCACGGCCACGGCCAACGAGGCAATCCCGCTCCAGTCCAGGAGGCCTTGCAACGCCACACGCTGTACTCTGGGGGAGCTTTGGCTGCTCGGCACTTGAATAAGCAGCGTTGCAACCCGCCCGATCGCGGGTTCCCCACCTCCTCGCTGTTGTTTTCACTGCGCGCCAGCCCGGAAGTCTGGCCGCGGCATATTTGACTCTTCCACGCGCTCGAGAGGGCGGAACGCGAGAGTTGCGCTCGAGAGGGGCCCGGGAGGCGAGGGGTGCGTTTCTGTGAGCCCAAGGCGTGAGTGCACTCACAGATCGAATAAGGCCAATGCGTACGGCATGCCGAAAGCATGCGGCAGGGGCTGACTTGGAAGCTGTCGCCGCTGCCCGGTATGCCGCTGCCCGGTATGCCGCTCACCTCCCATTTTCCTCTCTGCGCGCTGTTTCTTTTGAAGGCTCTCGCTCAATGCGCAGCTTTTAGCACCTGCAATGTACCCAAAAAACATGGCCAGTGAGCAGCGTTTGGTGTGCACACCCAGCGCAGGGTCCCCTGGCGTGTCGGCGTGACAGAGGCCTCCTCCGCTCGCTGCTTGCCGATGCTGCTCTTCCAAGGAGCAGCTGATGAAGCCTTCAGTTTGAGCCTCCTCAGCCACATGCCTTCCTCCGATCTTTCCAGCAATTCGTCCAAGGTCAATTCCCCATCTGGATTCTTCTCTGCAGATCGTCCTCTAGTGCTAGGGAGAAGGCCCCCGGCCCAAGTGTGGCAGCCTCACAGCCTCGCCCCTCGCCCTCCCTTCTCCTGCGCCTAGAAGCAGCGGCTCCCCTGCCGACCTTGCTGCTAAGTAGCCCCAGCCACAAGCCTCTGGGACACAGCACAGCAGGAAGCAAGGCCGTTGCACTGCCGCCAACTCGCCCGCGGTGCGCCCGCGGTGTGCCCGCCGGCCCCCCGCCCCCGCCAGGCCTTGGATGGGAGCAGGCAGTGCTCACATGCAGGCAGCCTCGCAGCACACGTCCCAGCCACCAGTGGCCCAGCCCTTGCCCCCAGCGCCAGCAGCACAGCTGGGGTTCGGAGCGCCTCAGCTGGCAGGCGTTATGCCGGCGCCAGCGGGTGCAGCGAGGGGCCCCACGCGGCCGCCTTTCGGCTGCCCTCAAGCAGAAGCAGCAGCAGCCGCAGCAGCGCTGCAGACCTTTGCTGCTGCGCCAGCCAGGCAGCAGCAGCTCGGCCTCGAGGGGCCGCCGCCACAGGGCGAGAGCCGCGGCGCGGGCGCTTTGCCGCCGCGGCAGCCTGCGGCCAAACGGCGGCTGAGCAGCCAGCTGCTGCGGGCAGAGCTGCATTGTGAGTTGGCGGCAGCTGCGGCAGAGGAGGGCTCCGGGGCGGCGGCAGATGCCAGAGGAGGGTTTGGGGGCCAGACCGCCCCCTGGGGCTGCCCGAACGCCAGCCCGGCTCGCACCCCCACCCCCAGCGCCGGGGCCGGCGCCAGCGGTGGCAGGGGCCCACAGCCACCTCATGGGCAGCTGGTCCCGCGGCTGCAGGCCGCCAGCTGGGACAGGGGCGTGGGCCTTGTGCTGGTGGGGAGCCACCTTGTGCTGAGGCCCCTCCCCCGCATGATCCCTGTGCCGCTGAGCGCGGCGGATGCCCAGCCGCCGGTGCTGCGGGTTGCCCGCTTCTCATGGGAGTGGCAGCTGGGGTACGGCTGGGTGCAGCAGCCGCATCCTGTGGCCCCGCCCGTGGCGCTGCCGCAGCCGGCCTGGCAGCCCGGGCCGGCAGGCAGCCCGGGCCGCGCGGCGCCGCACCGGCCGCGGCTGTTGAGGGCGCCGCAGGGCGCGGCGGATGTGCCGCCGCCGCCCCCCGCTGTGGTCACCGCGCTGCCGGCAGACCTGATGTCAGGCAGGGGCCTGGCCCCACGGCATCGCTACCCGCCGCCGGCCACGGCTGCGGCTGCTGGAGCCACCAGGGGATGAAGCCGCTCATCTGCTGCTCGCATGCCGGCTGCCAGCCCAGCAGCCGACCCGGCCTCACGATGTGCTGGTTGCAAGAAGGAGTTTGTGGGGAAATGCTAGTGGAAAAGGCTAGTTAACAAATGCCAGAGGTGAAAAGACGTTATTCACAATGCGCGCCAACTAAATGAAACAGGATGATACAAGATGGGCCCGGGCCCCGGAATCCCGCCGCCCCAAGCTATCCGGGCGCGGGCGGCGCCAGCGGCAGGCTGGCCGGCGGCAGGGTTGTGGGCACGCCGTCTGCGCAGGAGCCATCCAGGTTGACGATGGAGCAGAGCTTGCCCTGCTGCACGCGTGTGTCTGTGCAGCAGGCGTTGAACCCAAGCGAGCTGGGCGTGCAGCATGGCAGCATGCTGGGCGTGGAGCAATCTTCCCCCGGCTCCAAACACGCCTGCAGGCAGCAGCGGGCGGGGCGGCGCGGCAGCGACGAGTTGGGGGTGCCTGCCGCCAGCTGAGCGTGTGATCCCGCAGCTGGCAGCAGGCGCGCCGCCTGGACTGCCCGGCAAGCGCACCTTGGCTGGCGCCGGCTCAGGAGAGGGCGACAAAGGCGGCTGCGGGGCTGGCTGCTGTGGGGGCGGTGGAGGTGGAGAGGGCGGCGGGGGCGGCTTGCCCGCCAGCAGTCGTCTGCTTGCTTTCAGCAGCACCGCTTGCCGCAGCGCGTCCACCAGCTCGTCCCTGTCCACCGCCGGCGTGCGTACACCCCTCCCCGAGCAACTCTCTGCAGCAGAACCCAACCCGTGCATGAGAGGGGGCGGGAGGGAGCTCTTGCACGTACGCCCAAGCGCAGCTCCTGCCTCACCTGTGGCAGCTCCAACCCCTGATAGCAAGGCCAGGAGGGCCAGCAGCAACTGTCCTGCTACAATCGACGACATTGAAATGCGGGTGCCGCCAGCACACTACGGGCAGCCGTGGGAGAAGCGGACAGTGCCTGGTGGGCCAGGAGGGAGAGAAACCCACGGGAATGGGGCCTCCCACCAACCGCAGATGCTGCAGAGAAGCTCATCCATGGCCGGTGACGTGGCGGGCGGCAAAGGCCTCATTACCTGCTGTGCCTGTCTTCCTCTCGGGGAGCCGACTTTAAAAGGGTTTCTATCAATTATGGGCTACTGTAGGCGTCACGACATCCAGGCAGGCCATCGGACAGGGAGAAACACTACGAGGGGAGGCCGCCGCCCGCCGCGCGGCGCGTCACGGCGCCTGCGCCTGTGCCGCGGCCGCCGCCGCCGCCGCCCGCTGCTGCTTCATGGCCTGGTGGTCAGCAAACACCTCTGCAGCCCATAACAGTGTGACATGGTCAGGCGGACTGCGCGGAAGAGGCTGGGGAGGGCAGCCTGGCCCATGCTGGGCCAGCCAGCCCAGCGGCAGGCACGCAGCGGGCACACGTGCGCCAGGCACCGCTGCGGGGCCCCACCTTGCACCAGCTCCGCCAGCGGCCGGGCATAGTTGTTGGGGACCGCCGCAGCAAACACGGCCTCTGGGAGGCCTGCAGCGGGGGGCAGGGGGAAGCGGGGCAGGGCCAAGGAAGTGGGGCTCACCACGGGCTGGCAGGCCGTGGCAGGTCTGGCTGGCTGAGGCACGGGGCCCGCATGTGTGCGCGCGAGGCGCAGGACCACAACACACACGCACACGGCATGCCGACGAGCCCGCAGCCAAGGCCCAGCCAAAGGCCGCCTCGCTCACCCGCCTCCCGGACCGCCGCAATCGTCTCCATCACTTCTGCAGCATACATACCCGACAGGAACAGCACGCGCCGCGTGCCCAGCGGCGCCTGCGCAGCCAGAGCAGCGGGCGGCCTCAGCGGCTAGGCTTCGGCGGGCGGGGGAAGCCCAGGGCACAGCGGGGAGCACAGAGCGCGTCGTGGCACCCCGTGTCATGGTTCCATGTTTCGTGCCTAAGCAGAGTGCCAGCCACCCCACCTGCTCAAACTGCGGCACAGGCTCCAGCTCCAGCGCCGCACCCAGGGTGCCATCCCAGGCCGAAGCCGGCGCGGGGATCACCTGCGCGCGCAGGGCGCCAGGTCCACGCTCGCCGGGTCGCACACAGGAGGCAGGCCAGCAGACATAAGGTGGACAGCAGCTCATGGTGGGGACGCCGGGGCCGCTTGGCAGCAAGCAGCCCGCCCCACCTTGACCATCTCTGCTTCCATCTCCTCATGCAGCAGCCGCCGCAGGCGCTGAAACTCGTCCTGCGTGAATCCCACCGCCAGCAGCGCCTGCAGGCAGGGGCGGCGGGCATGCATGAGGCGCCTGTCTGGCAGCTGGCGAGGACAACGACTGCCTGGCAGGCTGCAAGGGCAGGCCCGCTGTGCGCCAGGGCCGCACCAGCGGGCCAAAGGGCGCCTCGCTGCTGCCGTCGAGGGAGCCCGAGCTGGAGGCATCGAGCGGCATCATCTTGGCGCCCTCCTCCTCCTCCTCCTCGAAAGGCTGTGGCGCCGCCTGTACCTGCCGCCGCCGCTGGCTGCCGCGGCTGCCGCTGCGGCCGCCAAACAGGCTGCCAAAGGGTCCTGCCGCCGCCACAGGCACAGGCCGCCGCCATTGCGCCTGCCGCCACCACCCGGGCTGGTCGGCAGCTTTCCCCAGCTGGCAGCAGCATGGCTGCGCTCTTCTGGGGGTCTGGGCGAGGCGTGGGTGGCCCACACAAGCTGCCGAAAGGTTGGGTGTCGCCATGTTGCGGCAGGGCCGTTGAGCTAGTAAATCAAGGCGAATACTCAATAAATTGAGCAACAGGAGAGAGATCGCTGCTCCTCCCCTTCTTGAAACCTGACCAGCGCCTGAAGCCCAATGCCCAGGCACAGCGTTACAGCGATCCACCGATCCACCAATCTCATGCCCTGAAAGTCGTTTTGCTGGGCGTTGCGTCTGACCACCAGTCTCGTGTGCAGCCAGCCATGCCGCCGCCTTTGGCGGGAGAGGTGGCCCCAGGTGCGCAGTGACGACACATGTCAACCTGCAATGCTGCACCGCCGCCCCAGCCGTGCCTGGCCGCCGCCGCCCGCCGCCTGCCGCCAGTCGAGCGGCGCCGCCGCCACCTGCCGCTGCCGCTTGCAGGGCTCTTCGTGGGCGGCCTGTCCAGCCTGGACCGGGTGCAGGAGCTGGGTATCACGCATGTGGTGGTGAGGCGCGGCCATGGGGCGCCGACTGCCTGCCTGCTGCTCGTGCTCCTGCTGCCGCCGGCGGAGACGCACCCCGCCTCGCGCCGCCCGCCTGCAGACGGTGCTCAACGACCCCGGTTCGGTCCAGCATGCAGCGCTGGCGCCAGGTGGCAGCATCCGGCGCCACCTGGTGGATGTGGAGGACGCAGAGGAGGCAAATCTGCTGCAGCAGCTGCCCGCCGCGGTGGCGTTTGTGGCGGCGGCGCGGCGGCCTTCGCCCGGGGCCGGGCCCGCCCGCGGCGGCGGCCGCGTGCTGGTCCACTGCGCGCAGGGCGTGTCCCGCAGCGCCGCGCTGGCGGCGGCCTGCCTCATGGCGGCCGCGCCGCCGCCGGGGCTGGAGCCGGGCGCCGCGCTGGCAGCGGTGCGCCGCGCCGCGCCCGCCGCCGCTCCCAACCCGGGCTTTGTGGCGCAGCTGGAGCTGTTTTACGCCATGGGCTGCCGCCTGGAGGAGTCCTATGTGCCCTACAAGCGCTTCCTGCTGCAGCAGGTGGGCGTGTGGGGCAGGGCCTTCAACCGAGCAGCAGCGGGCAGCGGGGCTGGGAGACTGGCATTAGGCGGTGGTGGCGTGCTGCCACCGGCAGCGCCTCTCGGCCAGCCTCCCTCCCACCCCCACCTCCCCCGCCGCCCCGCAGGCCGCGCAGCAGTACCGGCAGAACGGGCGGCTGGACGCGGTGGCACTACCGCAGCCGCAGGAGGGCGCGGCGGGTGGCGGCGGCGGCGGCGGCGGCGGCGGCGCCACGATGTACCGCTGCCGCAAGTGCCGGACGCTGGTGGCCACAGCCCACAACGTGGTGGAGGTGGAGCAGGTGGGGGTTGTGGGAAGAATGCAGCTGCGTGCTGTGTAGAGAAGCCGTGGAGAGAGTGGTGCCCGGCGGGAAGGAGGAAAGAACGGGGTGCCACCTTGGCGTCGATTTTCTTGCCAAGGTTGCGTTTTGGCCCTTGGGGAGCTGCTCACTCTCTGTCGCCGCACACCTCTGATGATGTGGCTCGCCCGGGCTCTGGCCAGGGCCGCAGCCGCTGGGCAGCGGCCCCGGGGGCGCGCTGGCGGCCCCGCCCCGCTGCTGGCAGCCGCCGCCGCATGCAGCCCCGCGGCCCGGCTGGCTGCGGCATCGTCCTGCACTTCCCTGCCGCCACTGCCCGCCTTGGATGGTGCTGGGCAGGCACGCGGCGCTAAGGGTTTGCTGGCAGGTGGAACGTGCAGGCAAGCCGAGAGCTTACAGCAACACCCTGGCCCCGGTGCCCTGCTGCCCTTACCTGCAGGGCCCCGGCGCCGCGGGCTTCCGCTGGCGCAAGCGCGACAAGCACCAGCACCAGACGCTGGCGGGCGACGGCGGCGGCCCCGCTGCCAGCAGCAGCACTGAGGACGGCAGCCTGTTTCTAGAGCCGCTGCGGTGGATGTGCGAGGCGGGGGCCGGCGGCGCGGCGGCGGCGGCCGCGGACAGCGTGGTTGGGGGCGCGGTGCAGGGCAAGCTGTACTGCCCCAAGTGCGCCCCGCTTGGTTGCGCCCCCGGGTCTGCCAGCCAGCCCTCCCCAGCCTGCCTAACCCACTGCACACAGCCCTCCCCACCACCACCATCACCACCACCACCGCCACCACCACCATCACCACCACACATGCACGCTGTAACCATGCCGCTGTGCTGTGCTGTGCTGTGCTGTGCAGGTGCGGCGCACGCCTGGGATCCTTCAACTGGGCTGGCACGCAGAGCAGCAGCGGCGCGTGGGTGACCCCGGCCTTCCAGGTGGGCGTCATCGCCCGCAGCTGCTCCTGCTGCCGGCAGCCTGCCGCGAGGGGCCGGCCGCCCTCTGCAGGCAGGTGCCTGCCGCGGCCAGCTGCCCACAGCCTGCCTGGAGGGTCATGACACTCTCACCCATTCTGCGTGCCTGCGTCCCTGCGTGCCTGCTCCATGCGCCGCCGTGCAGCTGCACCTCTCCAAGCTGGATGCGGTAGAGCCGCGCCCGGCAGCAGCCATCCGCCAGCCACGCGTGCTGGGCGACGGCACACAGCCGCGGCCAGCAGCAGCAGCAGCAGCAGGCACACCAGCAGCAGCAGCGGGCGCAGCAGCAGGCGCAGCAGGCGCAGCAGGAGCAGCACCAGCAGCCGTGCAGGGCGTGGGCGAGGCGGCGGCGCAGCTGCAACGCGCCTGCCTGGCCGCCGGCCCACAGCCGCCTGCTGCTGCCGATGCACACGCTGGCGGTGCTGCCGCCGCTGCTGCCGCCACCGTCGGCGCCTCCGCCGGCACCCCCAGCGGCGCCGCCGACGGTACCAGCGGTACCACCTTCTTCCGCTACCTCGTGCTCGACTGCGACGGCGTGCTGGTGGACAGCGAGCGCGCGTCCTGCGAGGCGCTGCGTCGCGCCATCCTGGCCGTCACTGCCTTTGACATCCCGCACGCCTTCCCAGCCGACTTCCAGCCCGTGTTTGGCATGGACGTGCGCAGCTGCGTGGAGTACTACCAGCGCCGCTTCGACAAGTGAGCAAGGGAGAGCGGCAGGGGCGGCGGGTGCGCTGGGGGCCGGCCTGCAGGGGAGCCCTGGGGTGGCTACCCCACAGGGGTGTAGCTGCCCCTGCAGGCTGCCCTGCAAGCCCCCGGCCTCACTGCGCAGGCCCTGCTGCCTCGGGTGTCCCGTTTTGGCGGCGGCAGGCCGCGGGGCGGGCCGCCGGCGCGCCGCGCGGCCCATTGCCGCCGCCGCCCGCTGCTGCTGTCGGCGGCCCGGGCCGAGCGCCGCCGCCGCCGCGCCGCGTGCAGGGCAGAGTGGGGCCCCGCAGCCGAGGTGGCTGCGCGGGTGTCGGCAGTGAAGGAGGGGCTGTATGGCGAGCTGACGGCGGGCGGCATCCGCGCGTTTCCGGGGGTGGAGCGGCTGGTGGAGCAGGCGCGGGCGCTGGGCATGGGGGTGGCTGTGGCCAGCAGCGGCAGCCCCGAGAAGATTGCGCACAACCTGGGCAGCAGCGGGCTGGCGTGCCTGTTCCCAGACCCACACCTGGTGCGCTCCCTCTGGCGGCTGAGGCTGGATGGCGTGGGGGGGGCAGCGGCGGCGGCGGGCTGCGTGTGGGGGCGAGCGCCCAGGGGTGTGGCCGGCGGCCGGTCACCGGTGCGCGCGAGGCGCAGCCCTGCCAGCTGTCACGGCGCTGGCGGCGGCGCGTGGCGCATGGCATGTGTGTCCAGAGTGCCTGCCTGCCCGCCTGGCGCGCCCACCCTCCCACCACCCCCTGCGTTGCTCCCTGGCCTGCCTGGCCCGCTGCGCAGGTGGTCAGCGCCAAGCACGTGGCTCGCGGCAAGCCCGCCCCCGACGTGTATGTGGAGGCGCTGCGGCGGCTGGGCTGCACCGAGCCGGCGCGGGCGCTCGTGGTGGAGGATGCGGGTGGGTGGGGCGGCTGCTTGTTGGTGGCTGGTGGGCCTTGCCGGGGCACCGGCTGCATGCTCGTGTTGCGCTGGTGGGGCTGGATGTGCAGGCGCAGGTGTGGGTGGGCCGCTGCCCGCTGCCGACGCTCCTCGCCTGCCTGTCCTGGCCCCTCCCTGGCAGTGAATGGCCTGCTGGCGGCAAAGGCGGCGGGGGCGTTTGCGGCGGCGGTGGCCACCTCGCTGCCCGCGCACATGCTGGCGCCGCACGCCGACCTGGTGCTGGAGCATTTGAGGGAGCTGGACCTGGCGGCGGTGGCGGCGGCGGCCGAGGGAGCGGCCGGCGGCGAGGAGCGGCGGCCACAGCGAGGCGGCGAGGGGGAGCATTAGTACCACTGACGCTGACACTTGTTGCGCGCTGCTCCCGCTCCCACCCACTAGATGGAACCCCGGATTTGTCAGAAACGGCCGGGAGGCGCCTGTTTAGGCGCGAACGGGTGGTTTGTACTGCATTGCCTGCACAAACACCGCATTTAGACCGTGGCTGGATGTCGTGGCTGCAGACAGAAGTTTCCATCTGTTCCCGGGCTGCTCACGGCGCAGGTACTCCGCACGCAACTCCACAACTTCGCAGAGGCGGGGATCGCCGCTCGGCCGGCCGCCTTTCTATTACAGCGTGCCGCCCGCGGTAGTGGCCGCATAATTCAGGGAGAAGGCCAATAAATATGGAAGGCCACAAGCGGCTGTGGGCCGTCTTGGCGGTCTTTGCCAGCCTTCAGGGCTGTAGAGCCCTCATGGTGAGCTCTATTTGGTGGGGGGCGGCAGCTGTGCCCCAAGCTTTGGGGTCCTCACCTGCTTCGATCCGCGCTCCTCGCGCTCCTCAGCCCCGGCCCCTGCCCAGCACCAGGGAGGCAGCGGAGTGTTCAGATGGTGCAGGCGGGCAAGGCGGGGCAGATGCAGTCCCAGCCAGTGCAGGCGGCCCCGCCAACGGCAGCGGGCACCCCCAGGCCGGCGCGCCTGGTCGGCCACCCCACCCCGCGCCCAGCTTGCAGGCGCCACGGGCGCGGTTTGTTTCCTCTCGCAGCCGCGGCGCCGCGCCCGCCTGGCGCCCCGCTCGCCCCGCGTTGACGCCGCCGCGCGCCGCCGCCGCCGCCGCTTCCACCGCCGCAGAGGGAGGTGCACAACGTGGAGGAGATGCGGGCAGCCATGAACGACAGCTCGGTGGACCACGTGATGCTGATGCGCCCCGATGGCTGGAACGTCACCGAGGAGACCTTCCCACCACACTCTGTCTACATCCGCAACCGCTCGCTGCTGCTGGAGGGGTCCGGCCCGGGCTTCTTCCATTTCGACGTGAGCCCCGGGCGTGCCGGCTGCCGGCTGCCGGCGGCGGCGCAGGCCAGGCCGGGCCAGCCCAGGCCAGGCCCACGGCGTGAGACGCAGCGGCGGCGGCTGCGGCGAGGGCCGGGGGGGTCCGCGGGCCTGCATGCCGCCGCCGAGCGGCCCACCCGGCGCAATGCAACGCGGCCCGTTCGCCGCGGCAATGCAACAAGCCCGCTCCCCGCTGCCCGCTCCCGCTCATGCCCCTGCCGGCCCCTGCTGGCGCGCTGGCATGCAGATGAACCTGGTGCAGGACCAAGTCATCATCCTGGACGGCGGCAACCTGACGCAGCGCAACATCTGGTGAGCGGCGGCGGCGGTGGTGGTCGGGCGGGGCGGCGCGGCTCATGGGGCGGGGCTGGGCCGACCTTGCCTGCCTCCCTCCTCCCCTCCAGGGCCGACCACTGCTTCCACGGAAAGCCGCCCTACTCGTGCTTCACCAAGATGGGACGTGAGCCTGCCGACGGCGCCACGCTGCGCCCGCTTTGTGCTCGCACCGCGGCTGCGCCACATGCGCGCCGCTGCATCTGGCCTGCCGCGCCCTCCGTGCCAGTCCTGCGCCCTCTCTTCGCCCAAGCTAGCTGCATTGCACGAGGACAGGCTGTGCTGCGATCCCTCGCCCTGTCCCGCCTTCCTTGCTCCGAGTCCCTCCCGATGCACCCTTCCCTGCCTGCTCGTGCAGCGGGCGGCTGGGGCCTGCTGCACAACTTCAAGGTCAGCGACGCCTCCTGCACCAACACCCAGCACTCTGTCTCCATCGCCACCAGCCTCATGTTCATCCGCTTCGGCAGCTTCCTGGGCGGCACATACGACGTGGAGCACCTCGATACAAGGTGGGGAGGCGCGGCCCAAGCACCAGCCCAACGAGTGGCGCGGCACACGGCCCCGCAATGCCCACGCAGCATGCCCCGTGGCCGCTCCCGTACCGTGGCATGCGGCGGGTGCTGCTCGGCGCCTCTGCTTGCTTGCTGCCAGCGATGACGCCGCGACGCAATTGTTTTGCTGCCCGCAGAACGGTGCTCGTCAAGGACACGGGCTGGCTGCGCAGCCCAGATGTGGCGGCATACTTGCGGGTCATCAACACCACCTTCTCCTGCACCGGCAACATCACGCACCCTGTGCCGCCGGGTGAGCAAGCTGCTGCAGGCTGCCCGAGGGCCGACACGGCCCAGCCGGCAGCCACCTGCTGCGGTAGCACCGGCTTCCCCACGCTGTGCTTGGCAGCCGCACAACCGCAGCTTCCTGCCTGCCGGGCTGAGCCTGCCGGGCCGCTGCTGCTCCCATGGTGCTTGCAGAGACACGGCTGGTTATCTTGCCGGTGTGGCAGCAGTATTTGCTGCTGGTGGGTGGCCTGGCGCTGCTGTTCCTGACGGCAGGACTGTTCTGGTGCTGGCACCGCAGAGGTGGGCTGGTGGGCTGCTGTCGGGCGCCGTGCGTGGCTGCCTTGCTCCTCGTTCCCGCGCCGCATGGCTGCAAGCAGCGGCTGGCGCCGGCTCCGCCAGCATCATCTGTATTTCTCCTCCTGCCGCCGCAGCCCGCGAGTCGTCGCTGCCGGAGCACCGCATCGCCGAGTCTCGAGGCTTCCTGCTGGAGGAGCCGCTGGGGTCTGGCCACTTTGGGCGCGTGTATCGAGGCCGCACCAAGAGCTTGGGGCAGGTGGGGCCTGCGCAGCATCGGAGGGCACATCAAGGGAAGCTGCCGCGGCAGTTGGGGGCAGCAGCGGAGCCAGCGGCGTCGAGCAGCAGCTGCCTAGCATCACTGCGTCGCCTGTTGACGCTGCGTCGAGCCGCGGCCCGACCTGCTGTGCCCGCTGCGCTCCTGCTGCGCCCTGCTGTGCAGCTGGTGGCCATCAAGGTCATCGACCTGCTGCCCAGCCAGCGCCGCCAGCTGGTGTACGCCTGCCGCGAGTGCCAGCTCATGTCGCGCGTGCAGCACCCCTCGATCGTGCGCGTGGTCACCTTTTATGCGGCCCAGGTGCAGGCGCGGCCGCAGGTGGTGGAGCTCACGTGAGTCGCCTGCTTGCTGCCTGCACCAGCGCCGCGCTGCTCGCTGCCTGGCCAGCCGTGCTGCAGCGAGGCAGCCCCCTGCGCAGCTGCCTGTCTGCGGACACGCCCCTACTCCCAGGCCTATGTGAGCGCGGGTTGGCAGCTGTGGCGCCTGGCGCCCCGCATGCCGTGCCCAGCGGCCGACTTGCCGTGCCGCCGCAACCATGCCTTGCGGTGCAGGCCGGGCATTGAGTATGTTGAGATCGGCTTCAATGTGGCATCCATCATTGACGGCAGCACCGCCGCGGCTTGGGCCTCCTCCCAGGAGGCCCGCTATCAGGGCAGCGCCAACGGCAGCGGCGGCAGCAGCGTAGCGCCCAACGCGGGTGGCGGCAGCAGAGGTCAGCGCATGCATGCACCCCAAGCGTCGTCTGCTGTGCTGTGCTTGATGCTAAACACGCGCCTGCGACTGACGCTCACGGCCGTCCATCATGGTTGCCCACGAATGGTTGCAGGGCCACCGACCAACAGTGGCGGCAGCACTGCCTCATCCAGTGACGGCATGGAGGGTGTTCTTTCCACGCAGGCAAACTGCCGCCCAGCAGGACACCTGCTGAACACCATCCATGTGTTGCAGGGGTGGTGCAGGAATCCACTGGCCTGCTGCGGTGTGGACACGGTGGCATGCCCCGCTGTGACGGCCTCGCCCTCCTGCCGCGCCCCGCTTGCTGCAGGTGCAGCTAGTGATGCAGTACTGCGACTTGGGGACACTGGAGCAGTCTGTGAGGGCTGGGATGTTCAGGGACGCAGAGACTGGGCAGGTCAAGCTGGTGAGATGGGCTGGGAGCGCATCAGCCTTGTTGCTTTTGTTCCTGGAATCCATTGTGCTGCAGGTTGGATGGGGGCACTCGTGCCCTTTGGTGGTCTGCACTCCTGCTCTTTGGTGCACCAGTCGGCACTAAGCCTGGCCTGCCCGTTGCTGCCTTGTGCAGCGCCACATCCTGGCCACAGGGCTGGAGATTGCAGAGGGCCTGGAGTACCTGCACCACTCCGACCGCCGCATGGTGCACCGCGACCTGTCGGCCACCAACATCCTGCTCACCACCTCCGCCGCCGACGACCGCGGCTTCCGCGCCCTGCTGTCCGACTTTGGTGAGGCTGCGGTGGCTGCTGCTGCCGTGTGCTGCGCCATGCTGCACACCCTGTGCACGCAGTCAAGTGCCGTGCTTGGCCTGCTGGCAAGCAGCCTCCTCGCCGATCCTCCCTTCATGCCCTGCCTCTGCGCTGCGCAGGCCTCACCACCTCTCTATCGGAGGAGCAGACGCACAAGACCAGCGAAGTGAAGGGCACCTTGAGGTGCGTCGCATGCATGCATGCATGCTGCGGTTGGGGCCGTCTGCTTGCCGCGTGCTTGCTGCGGCTGGGTGCGCTCGGAGCTCGCCAGCTGGTTCTAAGTCGGCTCTGCCCTGGCGCTGCCGCAGCTACATGAGCCCGGAGCTGTTCCTCCGGGACGATGTGTCCCCCGCCCTGGACGTCTACTCGCTGGGCATCATACGTGAGGCGCTGCGGCAAGCAGCGGCAGTTTCACAGGGTCCTGACGTTTGCCTGCAGCCTCGCTGCTCAGCAGCGCCCTGCCCTGCTGCCTGGCATGTTTTGTCGCGCCTGGTGGTGGGGTGCGCGCTCGCGTCTCTGACGCCGCTGCCCTGCTGCAGTGCACCTGATGTATTCTGGAGCGGACCCGTATGCGGACCAGGGTCCCGCGGTCATCATCCTTGCAAAGGTGCTTCCCGAGGTGGACGCCTCGGCGGAGCATTGCTCGCGCCTCTGCCAGCATGTGCCTGCATGCTTGCCGCTGCGCTTTGGGCTGCTTAGCGGCGGCGTCGGCGGCATGGCACGGGATGTCCTGCTGCCTGCATGGGTTAGCAACACAACCCGTCTCATGTGTGCCTGCCTGTGCTGCGCGCTGCAGGTGCGTGCCAGCGAGCACCCAGAGGAGGCGCGCCTGCCGCCGCTGGAGGGCTGCCCCCAGGCCTACCAGCAGCTGGTGTGGGACTGCACCCACGCCGAGCGCCGCAGCAGGTGCGGGGAGCCGAGTGGCGCTGCTGCCAGACAGGCCCTGCCCTTCGCACATGCACCCTTGCTGCATTAACCGCCCTTCCTGTTCAGCTAGGTGAGCTCTGCTCCAGCTGCTGAGCTCTGCACGCCTGCTGCATGCATTGCCTGCAGGCCCACCGCGGCGCAGGTGGTGAGGCGCCTCCGCGCGCAGCTGGCTGCGACCACGTGACCCGCCTTGCGGCTGCCAGCCATGCGCGATGGGCCAGAAAGGATGGCCCCTCCCTGCTCGAGCTTCTCTGCTTCCTTGCATTCCTGCCCGCACTGCGCTGCGGCATCCCTTGTGGGTCGTGGTGTGCCAATTGATATGTGCACCATCCCCTTCCATGAAGGTTGCATCCATTTCATGCACGTTGCAGCCTGCAATAACACTGGTTCTCCTCCATGCAAGCATCCAATTGCGTGGTCTCCAATTTCGGGTTTGATCCGTTCTCATTGTTTTTCTTTCCAAACAATACATGCACAATCCAAGAGCAGCCATTTTTATTCGACGCTCGATACCAAGCATTCACCCAAGCTGCTCAAACAAACCACTTATGCATCCTCCCAACAAACCGCACGCATGTTACATTCAAGTCTCTTGAAAACTATTTTTTTTACTTTTGGCGCCAGCTTTGCCAACGGGTTGGCATAGCGCGCGCGCTGCGCAGCTCCCACTACTCTCTAGTCTTTAAACTTGTTAAAATTTTCAGCTACAGTTGGTGCGGTACGGTGAAGCAAGCAATAAAGGCGTGCAGCAGCTCCGTCTGGCACCGGCAGCCTTGGACGAGCCACACAGAGCAGCTGCTGTGCGTGGATGGCACCCCAGCCCCGTTTGGGGCCAGGCACCGCCCTACTCCTCGTCGACTACCAACTCGACTTCATGGACGAGCACCCAGCAGGCCCGGTGCCGGTGCCAGGCGCGCGCCGCCTGTGCCCGGTGCTGAACCGGCTGATGGCGGCGGCGCGCCGGGCGCGGGCGGCGGTGGTGGCCAGCCAGGACTGGCACCTGCAGGCAAGGCTGCGCGGGGGCCCCAGGCTCCTCGACAGCAGCTGCCGAGCGCCGACCCCTCGCTGCGGCCCGCGCCTCCGCAGCGGTCCAAATGCACACACACGCAAACGTCCGCCCCTCCCGCCTCCGCACACACGCAGAGCCACGTGAGCTTCATCACCAGCCACCCAGCCCAGCTTGACGGCGGCTGGGAGCTGGTGGGGGGTGCCAGCGGCCGCACGGTCGAGGTGGAGGTGGGCGGGCGGCGCACGGCGCTCCGCCTGTTCCCCTCGCATTGCGTTGCAGGCACCAGCGGCGCTCAGTTTGCAGGTGCGGCACAGCACTGCCTGCCTGCCTCCCTCCCTCCCTCCCATCCAGTCCACCCAGCGCTGCTCTGCTGTGCCGACGCGGCCCCATTCTGCCGCCCTAGAGGGCGTGTGGGAGCTCCCACACTAGCATGTCACCCCCCTGCCCTGCCCATGATGCGGTGCAGAAGGCCTTGACATCCAACTGATCCAACACAGCGTGCACAAGGGGATGGCGGAGGGGGTGGAGGCCTATAGCGCTTTCCACGACATGGCCCGCAGCAGCACAGGCGAGCCAGCCCTCCCTGGTTCTGCAGCCTCATGGAAAGCGTGGCCTGGCGCCTCATGTGCTTCAGCAGCAACAGGGACTCCCGGCTGCTCCCCTGCTGCTCAGCAGCGCTGCTTGAATCCCTCGTACGCCCGTACAGGCCTCACGGGCTGGCTGCGCCAGCGAGGCGTCTCCACCCTGTTTGTGTGCGGAGTGGCGACAGAGTTCTGTGTGCGGGCCACCGTGCTGGACAGCCTGGCTGAAGGGTTTGCCACAGTGCTACTCACGGATGCAGGTGCGACAGCAAAGGCTAGCACTGCGCAGCACAGCACGGCGGTGGTGGCCGCCGCATCTGGGCAGGGCACAGGTGCCTGCTCGCCTCCTGCACACTCCCCTGCAGTGGCTGGGGTGGATGCCGCTGCATGCCAGGACGCCGTGCGAGACATGCAGCAGCAGGGAGCAGTGCTGATGACTGGCGCCGAGCTGATCGGTGGGGACGCCCATGCTGGCAGATGAGGCGACGGCCGCGCATTTGGAGGGGAACGGCCGTCGCTTGTGCTCTGCATGGGCAGCAGGTGGCCGGCGGCTGTGCATCCGTGGGTTACATGCGTTTGCTCATTCTGCGCCGCGACATATCGTAACAGCGGCGGCAAGGAATATGTGAAGGGGAGACGAGGATTCTGAACGAGAGGATAGATGGAAAGAGGGTGGGTGCGTAAGTGGAAAAGACTGGGAGGGATAGATGGAAGAGTGTGGGTGTGTATGTGGAAAAGACTGGAAAGAGTGTGGGTGTGAAAGTGGAAAAGAGTGTGAGGGACAACGGGCGAGGGGCGTTGGGCAGCCCCGGCGGATCAATCAATCGTGAGGCAAAGGCCGGAGAGAAAATGTGAGAAAAGCAGGGTGGGGATGGAAAATAAAGGCACCCAAGACTGGGGAGGTAACATGTTGCTCCCAAGGGCTACATGTATGTAACGTTGTGGGCATGAGAACATGCTGCATCTGGCACTACTTCATGAGGAGGTTCTCCAAGCGCCGAACAAGGTCGGCAGCTGTGGGCCTGCAGGGCAGCAAGGGATGCGGGCCAGCATTGCGATGCTGAACCGCAACCCACCCCAGCCCTACTGTGCAGCAGGCTTCCAGCAGCGCCAGGCTGCCAGCACACGGCTGTGCACCAAGGTTGTGGAACCTGGGCGCACCTGCTGCGGCGCTCGTAGTGTGTGCAGTCCCACACCAGCTGCTGGTAGGCCTCAGGGCAGCCCTCCAGCTGCGGCAGGCGCGCCTCCTCCCGGACCTACACCAGGCAGGCAGAAAATCCTTGGATGGGAGTTGGAGCATGCCGCACACAACCTACCGGGAAGGATGACGAGGGCACCCCGGGGCAACAGTGCGCCGGCGCCGTGACCTGCGAGCCTCGCACCTTTGCGAGGATGATCATGGCGGGGCTCTTGCCCTGGTAGGGGTCCTGCCCGGTGTACATCATGTGCACTGCAGCGCAGCGGCGGGTGTGGAGTGGGGAATGCCAGAACGAGGACAGCAGCAGCCGCCGGCATGACAACCACACCAGCAGTGCCAGCAAGCCCAGCAGAAGCGCCTGCCGCTGCTGCAGATAGCAGCCTCACGTATGATGCCCAGCGAGTAGACGTCCAGGGCGGGCGACACATCGTCCCGGACAAACAGCTCCGGGCTCATGTAGCTGCGGCAGCGCCAGGGCGGGGAGCGGGCCGCAGTAGGTGAAGCTGCCCTGCCCCAAACCCACCCCTCAGGCCAGCACAGCATGCACACAGGTCAGCAGCAGGCCAACGACGTGAAGAAGGAGGCACGCTGGGTGTGCCGGGCTGCTGCTGCTTGCTCCGCTCGCCTGACAGTCCCCTTGACCTGGCTGGTCTTGTGGGTTTGGTCAGCTGACAGCACTGTGCTGAGGCCTGCAATTAAGCAACCGCGTGCCCATGAGGCAGTGCACACGGCCAGGCATCAACGCCAACTTCCCAACCAATGCACGCGCAGCTGCCGAAATCACAGACATGAAGACAGGGAGAGCGTGCGGGCCGCCGACAGCAGCCGCCCCAGCCCCACCAAAGTCGGACAGCAGGGCGCGGAAGCCGCGGTCGTCGTCGGCGGAGGTGGTGAGCAGGATGTTGGTGGCCGACAGGTCGCGGTGCACCATGCGGCGGTCGGAGTGGTGCAGGTACTCCAGGCCTGCCGCTATCTCCAAGGCGGTCAGCAGGATGTGGCGCTGCAGCGCGGGGGGACATGCCAGACAGCAGGTAGTTGGCAGACCGGCAGGCTGTCGAGCGGGTAGGCAGGTACAGGCATGCGACACAGATGGGCGCCCATGAGAAATGCGCTAGGCACAGAAGGGCACACGCGGTGGACGATTACAACAGCACGACATAGGCAGGCAGGCGGGCTCACGATCCGGCGATGGCCAGTCACGGCATCTATGAACACGCCTCCCTTCACCGCCTGCTCCAGTGTCCCCATGTCGCAGTACTGCGTCACCAGCTGCACCTGCAGGCAGGGCAAGGAGGGATGGGCCGGTGTGGTGGGTGGTCAAGGGGAGCCTGAGCAAGCAAAGCGGCAGCAAGTGAAGCGCTGGGGAGAAGCCTGAACACAACGGGCTGCAAGCGTACCTGTATGGATTGCACGCCTTCCATCTTGTCTGAAATGCTGCTGCTGGCATTGGACCCAGGGCCTGAGCCTGCACACCGCCAGTCGGAGCATGAATTCACACTATTTCAGGATGCCGCCAAGAACCCTACCGCAGCCCTCCAAACCAATGACAGACGCGATGGCACACACGGCACAGCAATGCACGACACACATCCCAACCCGCCACTCGCCTGCACTGCCTTGGGGCGGCGTGCCGGTCGCCCCGCTGCCGCCAGAGCCCCTGGCACGCTGCTGGCTCCCCAGAGAGAAGCCGCTGCCGTTGCTGCCCTGTTGCTGTCCAGACGACCCGCTGGCTGCTGCACCTCCTCCACTGCTGCCGGCCTGAGGAGGCACCTGGTACCCAACCTCCACGTATTCGCTACGGTCGGGTCTGCAGGCCAGCAGGCCAACGGGCGAATGGAAAGAGGCAGCGTGAGGTTGGCACCAGCAGAAATCTGGCCGCTGGCAGCAGCTGGTGCCCTGAGCTGCTGCCACTGGCACCTTGCGAGCTGGCAAATGGAGAGATAGCTTGCCCCCTCCACACACTAATGAGCACATGCAACAAACATGGCAACTGCCCAGCCCTCGACAAGTGCAGTTTCATGAGACAGCAAGCAGGTAGCGGACGTGCGATCGCTCGCTGCCAGCCACGTCCACTTACATGACCTCCACAAGCCGCTGCGTGCGCTGCACCTTGGCGGTGTAGAAGGTGAACACCCGCACAATGTTGTCATGCTGCACGCTGGACAGCAGCTGGCACTCGCGATAGGCGGCCAGCACCTGGCTGCGCTGGCTGGGCAGCAGGTCGATGACCTTGATGGCCACCAGCTGCACAGCAGGGCGCAGCAGGGGCTCGGCAGGCACAGCGGGCACGGGCTGGTGAGGGTTGCAAGTGACGCACCCACGGCATTGTGCGGCCAGCCAGCGTGTCCCCCTCCGCACCTGCCCGCTGGTCCGCTTGCGCCCGCGGTACACGCGTCCAAAGTGCCCTTTGCCCAGCGGTGCTTCCAGCAAAAACCCTTTAGATTCGGCGATCCGATACTCAGGCGCTCGAGCATTCCGCGCTGCAGCAGCGGGGAGCACACGAGGCATTCGTCGCAAGGTAAACACACTTGATCATAAGGCGGCTGCCTGCAGCCGACAAAGCAGGCTCAGGCGCAGCACTGGGCCTTTTCCAGCAAGCAGTAACACCCCACCTCTACTGTTGCTACACCAGAGCAGCCCAGACACCAGTGCGAGCAAGACAAGCCCGCCCGCTGCCAGCAGCGATGGCGATACATGCGTCAGCTCCACGTCAACAAAGTCTGCAGGCAAACCAAAATGCGCACAAGTGAGTGGTCCAGCCGCCTGCGCCGGGCGCTCGGCGGCCCTTTGCAGGCCTCCAGCACAGCATGGCGGAGGGCGCACCATCCGGCAGCGGGTGTGTCGTGTTGCCGGTGCAGGTGAGGGTCAGGTTTGAGAAGCGCCACTTGGAGTCGTGGGTGCCACCTGACAGCCAGCCAGAGTCCTTGATGAGCATGGTCCTGCGAGGGCGGCCACCCAGGGAGCGGGAGCACGCGTCTGGACTGGGCACAGCACGAGCAGGCGTTTCAGGCGAGCAGCACCGTTGCGAGGCATGAGCTGGAGCCTGGCATCGTAAGCAGAGGCGGCCCCGCAGCCCACCTGGCATCCAAGTCTTTGCCAATCCGTGCCCTGGCCCCTAGCGTGTACCGCATGCGGTTCTCAACCTCCTGTATCGCTGGGGAGCGGCGGGCATTGACGCACGCTATGTCGCTCAAGCGCGCATCTACCAGATCTATCCAGCCGCCCTCTGCGAGCATTGGGAGGGCGCCGGCAGCACCTCAGACGGTGGCGGCTGTGTGCTACAAGAGATCTCTTCGGCTCCACGTCACCCCTGCCATGGCACTGCAAGCCACGCCATCCTTGCAGCCGGCCGGCAGACGGGCAGGCGCAGCGGCGATGTGCGCAGAGGTGCGGCGGGGGGCCATGCGGGCTGGCTGCCTGGCTCACCCAGCACGCTGCAGATGCAGAGGGCCAGCACGTCGTTGGCCAGGCAGTGATCCAGCCACACATTGCGCACAGTGAGGCCGCCGCCGTCGGACACCAGCACGTGCATGCCCTTCACCATATTGTACTGCAGGGCAGGATGCAAAAAGGCACGTCGGCCGGGCACGCCAGCATGCCCTAAATTATCGCTGGGACGACGATCAGCGGCACCAAACGGATGCTGCTGCACTGTAAGTAGTACGCCAGCATGCCCGGGGATATGTCAACAATGCATCGCGGGCGTGCCGGGAGGCGGCGGGCGAGCAGGTGCAGCAGGCGGCCAGCCTGCTTTCTTCTGACAGCGCGGTCGCCTTCTCACGTCAAAGTAGACAAGGCCTGGGCCCTGGCCCTCCAGCAGCACCTCGCGGCCGACCAGCTTCAACGGCACATCGGCGGGCAGGTCGTCGGCCGAGCAGTTGAAATTGCCGGCCTGCATCGCGACAATGTGGCGCACGCCGCCATCCGCCAGCGCCTCTCGCAGCTCCCGGCAGCTGTACACCTCCCTCTGCGGCAGGTGGGGCAGGTGCAGATCAGTGCGAGCGTGCAAGCGGGTCCTGGGCGCGTCCTTGCCCGGACCGCGGCGGCGGGTGCCAAGGCGGCAGAAGCTAGGCGGAGCCAGCAGCATTGGGGACCGTCTAACCTTCTGCGCTGCGCACTGCTTGCAAAGGGGCGCAAGCAGGGCCAGCAGCACTACAGCAGCGACCGCCACTGGCATTCTCGGCCGCAGGAGCGCCAGCGGCGCTTGCTATTCACGATTGCGGATGGTCTTGATCAAGAAGTGTTCATGGCAGCACGGCGCTTTCATCTGAAAGGCGCTGAAGGAGCACGCACGCGAGGCGTTAGGATAAGAACGGCTTAAGCCTTTTCAGGCTCTCAATTGCAGGTTGTGGCGTGCCGAGCACCAGGCGTGCAGTCCACAGGGCTCGCCCTGCTTTCCTCCTCCACCTTTCCATCAGGCTCGTCAGGTCCTGAAGGTTGATCAGCTCTCCACTTGACTAAGGGCTTTTTAGGCACGATACCATTATTACATCATCATCGAGTCGAGAACCAGGAGCTGAAGCTAGAAGTCTCCGAGGGTCAATGCACACCGGTCAACACTGCGGGTCGAATGCCGCCAGCGGGCCCGCCGCCGCCCCGCTCCCGCCACCCTGTCACACATCCGGCTCCTCCTCGTCGCTGCTGCTGCACCGCTGCCCGCCGTAGGCCGCCGTCAAGAAGCTGTGCATGGCGTCCACGGTCTGAATGGCGCCCGCGCCGTCCACCTGCATGCCCGCCGCGTCGGCGGCGGCAGCCAGCGCCGCGTTGCCCAGCGCCGCCGCCGTGGCCTCGGTAGACAGCATGGCCAGAGGCTGGGTGCTGGATGCCGCAGCGCCGCGTGAGGTGCCGCCTGCAGCAGCTGCTGCTGCTGCTGCCGCCCCGCCGCGGCTCGCCCTGTGCTCGCCCTCTCCAGTGGTGGTGGCAGGCCGCTTGGCCGCACGCTGACCTCCTTCCACTCCTGCCGACGCTGCAGCAGCCAGGCAGGCAGGCGGGCGGCAGGCAGTGCGCCACCCTGTCAGCAATCGGTTTCCCAAACGGACCGGTCGTGCTAGAGCAGCCAGGCATGGGCAGGAGGCCGGGCACGGCACCCACCCGGCCGCTTGAGCGACTCCTTGGCGGGCCGCGCCGCAGCCTTGGCGGCCGCCGCCGCGGAGCGCGCCACGCCGGCAGCCGCCTTCTCCTCCTCCCTGGCCGCCCTGGCCGCCGCGCGCGCCGCCTTGGCCGCCGCCTCCCGCGCCGCCCGCTCCGCCGCCCGCGCCGCCGCCTGCCGCCGCGCCTCCGCCTCCCTCTCCGCCTCCTTCACAGCCTTCTTGGCAGCCCTGGCCTCCGCCTTGGCGCGAGCCTCCGCCTCCGCCACCTCACGCACCGCCTGCAGCGGCCACCCAGCACTCCCACACGCCTCACTCTTAGTTGCAGCCACGCAGCAGGTGATGTGAACAGAGCAAGCCCAGCCCAGCCCAGCCCGGCCCGGCCCGCTCGCCTGCGCCGCCTTCTCCCGCTCCGCCTGCATCTGCTGGTGCAGCGACTTGACCGTCTCCACATCCAGGGTGGCGGCACGCCTGGCGTGCGGCGCGCCCCTGGCCTGCACGGCGGCGACCGGCGGAGGGTGAGCAGCGCACGAGGCTGGCAAGGCATGCAGGGCAGGGCAGGGCAGGGCAGGGCAGGGCAGGCGGCTCACGTTGAGGCTGCCGCCGGTGCCGGTGCGCTGCAGGCTGGGCTTGCGGGGCAGGAACATGCTGTCTATGTCGGTCGCCACCAGGCGGCTTGCGCGGGAGGCGCCGCCGCCGGCCGCTGGCGGCGCCGCCGCCGCCCGCTGCGCCTGCACGGCCGCCCGCGGCGGCGGCTGCGCCGCCTGCTGCGCCGCGGGCTGCGCCGGCGGCTGCAGCCGGCCGCCGGGGCCCAGCGGCGCGGCGGGGCCGCCGCCCTGCTGGCGCTGCGAGGGCGCCTCAGCGGCGGGGCGCAGGCGGAAGTGGTGGTGCTGCTTGGCGGGGGCCGCCGCGCCGCCGCCGCCTCCCCGCAGCTTCTGCAGCAGCTCCCTGTTCATGTACACCTCCTGCGGCAGCAGCGGGGAAGGCGCCCCGCCACCGTGGGTGGCGCCGCGTGCCACGCAGCCGCAGTAACAGCAACCTCACCCGCCTCATGGAAGCGCCAGGCTCACGGCAGCCCGGGCTGGCATCCAGCAAACACATCGGCAACCACCGGTGGCCGCAGCCGGCAACGACACCATGCTTCCCAATCCCAGGGTCTCCAGTCATCCCAGAGAAGGATGATGGGGGTGGAAAAAAAAAAACTGACGGCAGCCTTTGCAATCCCAGACAAGGCCGAGAAAGCCTGCCAGCAGCGCGGCCCCCCACCTCCAGCGGGCGGTAGAGGCGCGGGTCCGCTCCCTCCAGCAGCGCCTGCAGGCCCTCCAGCGTGCGCCCCACCAGCTTGGACCCCGCCAGCAGCGCGTCGTTGTGCAGGCGGCCGTCAAAGCCGCCCACCGACTGAGCCATCGCGCGCACCCACTCGTCCCTGCGGCACGGCAGAGCGTGGGGAGTGGACAGCACACCAGGCTGTGGGGCAGGGCCAGGCAGTGGGTGGGCAGGCAGGCAGGCAGGCAGGCGGTCGGCACGGCGACAGCCAGCAAGTAGCAGGGGCGACCAGCAGGCAGGCAGGCGGCGGCGCACTTGTCGGCGGTGCCGGCGGCCGCCAGCTTGGCCAGCGCGGGCTGCAGCTCGGCCAGGTCGCGCTTGCGCATGAACAGCGGCGCCAGCAGCAGGCGGGAGCGCACGAGCGGGTCCAGGCCCTCCCACTTCTCCCCCGCCACCAGGTACTGCAGGCGCGGGCGGCGGCGGGAGCGGCTCGCCGTGGTGAGCGGGCGGCGCCAGGTCTGCGGATGCTGCGTCTGTGGCTGTGGCATCCGCCTGGATCAACCGTGTGTGCCGGGGCGTGCACAGGCCACGCGGGGAGGGGGCGCACCTCGATGATGACGTCGGTGAGCACCCCCGACACGTTGCTGGCGCTCCATTCTCCACTGAGCTTGTTGGTGACGAAGCGTGTGAAGTCGGACATTTTTTTGCTCCTGCCCAGCGTCACAAGTTGTGGTGATGGTCCTCAGAACCCCAACCAGGAGCCCCAGGGGCCGCAAACCAGCCTGCTGAATGCCCCACTGCCCGTCCAGGTGCCTGTGAAGGCGGCTTCATGCAGGCGACGTGGCGCGCAGCGGGCAGCGCACCGCCCGCCGCTCTCCACCCCTCAGCGCCTGAGCGAGTAGCTATGTCAGCGTGTTCCCTTACATTGAAATGACACAAATCCAAGGAACGACGAGCTGCGGTGATGTGCATTGCCTCTCAGCCCCCCTCACCTCTCCTTGCCGCCGCCCTCCTCTCCCTCGCCCCCGCTGTCGCTGCCGCTGCCGTAGCCTGCGATCAGCCCCAGCGCCTGCTCCGCTGCCTCATCCTCATCCTGCTCTGCCTCCTGGTGGCTGAGCGGCTGCTGCGCCGCCACCACCACCGTGCCTGCTGCTGCCGCCGCCGCCGCTCCCGCGGCGCCCGCCGCCCAGCCCTGCTCCTGCGCCTGCTGCCAGTAGTGGTCCTCTGGCCGCATGTACCGTGTGTAATCATCCGCCGCTGCAGCGCCGCTCGGATAGTAGCCGCCCGGGTGCTGCTGCTGCCAGGCCTGCCACGCAGCCCACTGCGCCGCCTCATCCCGCTCCACCTCCTCTGGCCCCGCCTCGTCAGCGCTCTCCTCGCCCGCCGCCGCCTCACCATCGCTGCCGCCGCCGCCCTCCCCCTGCTGCTGCTGGTACAAGAACTGGTCCCATCCCTCGTAGGAGTGGCGGTACCGGCCGCCGCCGCCGCCGCCGTACTGCGCGTCCGTGTCTGCGCCAGGGCAGGCAGGAGAGGAGGGGGCGGGCATGGCACCGATTCAACCTGCAGCCTTGGCACTGGAAGAGGGAGCTGGCCCCGAATGGCGCCACCTACTCACACACCCCGTGTGCGCACGTGCGCCGCATGCATGTGCACACACACATGCACGCACACACAGCCGCAGCCGCACTTGGGTAGGAGGCGGAGGCCAGGCCTGGCTGCACCGTGGCGGCCAGGTGCAGCTGCTGGATGCGGGCGCGCTTGGCGTCGGGCGCTAGCTCGTTCACTGCCTGCACATAATGACACACACAGGCAGTGTGTGAGCTATGGCAGCAGGCTGGGCATGGGGGACCAGCAGGCATCGGGCGGCCCGCCACGGCGCACACCAACCCAGCGCACGCGCTGCCCCGGCCGCGCGCACAGCGCACACACAGCCCCCCGCCGCCGCCGCCCGCCTCGCCTTGGCGTACGCGTCCCGCAGCGCGTCCTCCCGCTCCTGCTGCACCCGCACCACCGCCCTCGGGTTGGGATCGTCGTTGGCCCACCGCACATCCAGGATCTCTGCATGTGTGTGTGCGGCAGGCAGCCCGGGCGCAAGGCAGGTGAGGTGGGCACGCGTGCATATGCAGGCAGCAACAAGTGGGCACAAGTCAAGGCGGGTGGCCGCGACGGGCTGCAGGGAATACAATACAGCGCCGCCAGCTGCCCGGCGCCAGCGGGAGGGAGCCCAGAGCCCCACGGGGCGCACCCGTGGTGTCGCAGCCGCGCAGCGTCTGCTGGTGCATGGCCACCTTGGCAAACTCTGCGCTGCTGCGCCACTGGTACCTGCAGCAAACGGCGGCGGCAGGGCGACGCCGGGGTCAGGAAGAGCGGGACCGCAGGGGCAGCAGGTGCCGCAGGTGCTGCAGGTACTGCAGGTGGGACCCCGGCGTGATTCCATGATTAGAGCCACGCTGGAGGCCAGGGCTTGAGGTGCGGACGGCACGGTGGCTGGCCCAAGCGCTGGCCCCAGTGGCGGCCCAAGGGGAGGGGGGGCAGAGTGCTGGAGGGCCGGCCCGTGCACAGCGCAGGCGTGGGTGCGGGCGACTCGCCTGATGAAGGCCAGGGTCTTGGATGGCACCAGGTGCACGTTCTCTATGGGACCCCACTCCCCAAAGTTGTCCCCCACAATGTTGCGCACCTGCAGGATATTGTTTGCAGGGCAGTGGGCAGCGCAGGCGGGTCGGGCGGCACCTGTGAACAGCCCGCCCACAGAAGCAGCAGGCGGCGGCAGCCCGCCGGCGGCGCTGCCGCTAAGGGCCAGGCAACCTCCCGCCAGGCAGGCAGGCAGGCAGGCAGGCAGGCAGGCAGGCGGGCAGCGCACCTGCTCAGTGGGCAGCGTGCCCGCGCCGCCGTAATGCACATACAGAGTCTTGCACTCGCGCTCGTACGAGCCCACGCCTGCGCGCCGGGCAGGCAAGGGGGCAGGCACAGGAAGGCAGCAGGCACGCGAGATCATGCTGGGCGCCGGCAGGTGTGCACGGCACCGCTAGCGCTGCTGCCCCAGGTGCCTGCCCTGCGGCGGCAGGGCAGCCCGCGTCCGGCGCAGGCCCACCCTTCTTGCGCCCGTCCATGTGCCCCGGCAGGCGCTCGCGGCCAAAGATGTCGTGGGAGTAGTCTGTGCGGTGCCGCTCCTCGTCCTGGGCGGTGGGCAGGCGGTGCAGGAAGTCGCAGCTGTGGCCGTGGTGACTGCGTGGGGTGGGGAGGGGGTGGTTGGGTGGACAGGCGCGAGCAGAAGAGGCATGGCATCGCTGGGCCCCGGGGGTGGCACAGTACTTTGCGGGGCGAGCAGCTGCAGCCTGTGCGCGACATGACACAGGCCCCCCGAGCGGCGGGGAAGGCGGGCGGCAGGGGGCGGCAGCCAGGCGGGCGCGCACCAGATGCCGCGTGCAAAGTAGAGGCAGCAGTACTCCACACCCGACCCCTCGCCCCGCGTCCAGCCGCTGTCAATCTTGGGGTGGCAGCGGTACGCGCTCGCCTCCTTCTTGCGGTTCTCCCGCGGCTTGCGGTACTCTTTGAGCACCCGCCCCGTCCAGATGTTGACCGTGCCGGCCGCGTGCACCTCCTCGTGCCCCGTCACCGGCGCATCCACCTGCGGAGGGCAGAAGAAGAGGCAGCAGGCGGGGAAGGCGGCCAGTCAGCGGGGCAGCAGGTGGCGGCCAGTCAAGAGCGCGGCGGCGGCCGCAGCAGCCCGCGCTGTCGTTATGCGGGCTCTCACGATCACCTGCTTCCGCGCCAGGCGCTTGGGGGCCTCCGCCTGCTTGTTCAGGCTGGCCATCAGTCGCTCCATGGCTCAGGCAGCCCCTGACAGCGCCTAACAGTCACTGGGGGTGTTGTGGTGAAGCACGAGCAGGAGTGGCGGATGCAAAGACATGCTGCGATGGAGGCGCCAAGTCATAGCGGCCGCCAGTCGGGCCGCTGTGGCAGCCTGCCCGCGCTCACCAGGGCACTTGCACTATCAGGGTACTGCCCTGTGTGGCCAAACCGATCTCATCCCCGATTGTGGTTGGCACAAGGCCACACGAGGCGTAGCGGGCGGAGGAGCAAGACAGCTGCAGCGGTGTGGCTTTCGTGGCAGTGCCAGGCTGAGATGGCTGAACAATCCCAATCACACACGATGTTGGAAGCAATTTGAGCACGCAGGAGGCGGCGCAGTCAACACAGCAGAAGCAGGCTCTGGCTCTGGCACGTTATGCAGTGCCTCTGCGCGCCTTCCGGCATGGCAGCGTGCCAGATGAACTCAACGTTGATACCACTGCTTCTGAATTGGTACTCCATCGCGGTGGAATACGCCTGGAAAATGCCTCGCAGGCAGGCCCACACAGTGCATGCTGGGCAGCGCGGAGCGGGAGGGCGCGCACCGCAAGTGGCGGGCGGCACCGCGAGCGACATGCACGCTGCTGCTTGAACCTGTCCTCTGGCCATCCCCAATCATGCATGCCGGGTGCCAGAACGTCAGGCCTGGCTTCGGAATCGTCCTGCTGGAGCGGGGGCTGTGGGAAACCCTCAAAAACCCCAAGCTGTCCCGCGATCGAATGGGTACAAAAGGGGATTGCTTCACACTGGGGAGGCAGCGTGCAACGTTCAGTGAACATCGCGTGCCAGCATCGCTTGCCACCTGGCGAAATCCCTCGCAACGCCTCCAGAGGCGATCTGCTTGCTTCTCGCACCTGTCCTGCGACCTGGTGGTGTCTGTGCAAGCGCTCCGCAAGCTCCCGCCGAGTGCACTTCGCAGGCGGTCAGGCTGCAGCGCCCTGTGGGCTGGCCAGCCTTCTCAGCTTTTGTAGGCGACCCCAGCAATGAGTCCCGCCATCTAGCAGCGGCCCAGACGTGAGAGCCTGCCGACCACCACTCCCGAGCCCTGCCCGCCCCTCCAACCCCTTAGAGCGCTGAAAATCAGCGGGCTGAACGGCTCGAGGTGGGTCCCAGCTGCGGGTCGTGCCGGGGGGCGCGCAGGGGGCGGGCAGCAAGGGGGGACCGTCCTTCGGCCGGAACAGGCGCTGCCGCTGCCGCGTCTGCGCTGGGCACCTGTTGAGCGCCGCGGCTGTTGGTCCCACGTCCACCCTTCCCACGCGCTGCCGCAGACGTCAGGCATGCAGCCCAGCGGGCCGAGCCAGACGTCAGGCGGCTCTGGGCCGCCGCCGGGCCTGACGCCCCGCCTGTCCAGCGGCATCTCTTTCAAAGCCGTGGGCGACTGGTTCCAGACGCTGGGCGACGACCTGGGCAGCGTGATCGGCATCCCGCGCGGCAAGAGCGTGCGGCGATCGCCCACGCCCAGCGGGCCCTCCCAGCATGACGCCGCCATGGTGCCCCGCCTGCCCAGCACCTCCCTCCTGTCCAAGCAGCAGCAGGTGCGGCGCAGGAGCGAAGCGCCGCCGGGCAGCCCGCCACGAGCTGCCGGGCCGCCGGCAGCGTGCCCGTGCCTCCTCCAGCGGCGGCTCTCATGCGCTGCCTGCCTGCCGCTGCGGCGCCGCCGCCGTGCCGCAGATTGTGGTGGGGATGCTGATGAAGTACGTCAACCTGGGTGCGGGCTACCGCCACCGCCTGTTTGTACTGCAAGACGGCGTGCTGCGGTATTACAAGGTGCCCCGTAGCTGCCGCTCCCGTACCGCCTGCTGCCGCTTCTGTACCGCCTGCTCCTGCTGCTGCTGCTGCGTCCCGGGCTGGGGATGATGCGCACCTGCAAAAGATCCGCGGGCTGCGGTTGCGGCAGGCGTCCGGCCAGCTCTCCATGCCTGCCTGCCTTGCCAGCCACCCAGCGCTGCGCGGCCCCACCCAGCACCCCGCCCGGCTCGCGCGCCGCCTGCCTGCCCCCAGGTGTACGGCCCCACCGCCGTCAACGTGCACCAGCTGCTGGATGTGCTGCGGCAGCAGGGCGAGCTGTACCCAATCGGCGCCGAGGTGCGCACCGAGGGGAGGGCAGGCGCGGAGCAAACACAGCAGGGCGGGCAGGCAGGAGGCAGACAGGCAGCGGCATTGGGTGCCGGGTGCGGGCATGCACCGGCAGCGGCTTGGAGGTTGAAGGGAATGTAGCATGGCTGCCGCCGCGTGCTCCTGCGGCGCCCCAGTCCTCGGCTGCGGCAGCCTGGCGGCGCACGTGCGGCGCCTGCCCAGGCAGGCGGCGTGGACGCGGGCGGGGGCGCGGGCGCGGGGCCACCCACGCGCCGGGCCTGCCACGCCGGCCTGGCCCTTGCTTGCCTGTGTGCTGCAGGTCAGCCTGCTGGAGTCGCGGGATGAGCGCATGTCGGAGGGCGGTAGCGGTACCGCCGCCGCCGCCTACGTGCCGCCGTCGCCGCGCAGCGCGCGGGCGCGGGCGCGGCTGCCACCCCCGGCCGCCGAGATCCACCTTCAGGTGGCATCGCTGCGGGAGTCCAACGCCGACTACCGCAAGTTCTACGTGCACAGCGGCACCTCCACGCTCACGCTGCGGGCGGAGTCCAAGGAGGACCGATGGGTGTGGATGCAGGCGCTGCAGACCTGGTGCGCGGCGCGTGAGGGTGGGGTGCCCGGGCGGGTGCGCTGTGTGTGTCTGTGTCTGTGTCAGAGTGTGTGTGTGTGTGTGTTGGGAGGGAGGATGGCTCGCCGCCGCGCCGGCGGCATTGGCTCGCCCCGGCAGGCCCGCGCCGTGCCGTGGTCACGTGCGCCCACGCCCGCGCCCGCCGCGCCTTTCTCCGCCCCGCGCCGCCGCGCGCAGCAAGGGCTCCTGGGAGGGCATGACGCCGGCGGAGGCGAGCGCCCTGAAGCGGGATGCCGGGGCTAGCATCGTGTCGCAGGACGAGCGCTTCATGGCGCGTCTGCAGGAGGTGCGGCATGCGGCCGCGGCTGCGCCTGCGCCTGCGTCTGCGCCTGCCAGGGGGTGCAGGCAACCAGGGTGGCAGGTCGAGTCCCGGCGCGGGTGGCGCGGAGGGGCCGCCGCCCCGGCGCCGGCCGCCCGTGTGTGCTCGTGCTTGCAGCTACGTGCTGCGTGCCGGCGGCGCTGATGTGTGGGCGGGGCCCGGCCCGCGCCGGCGGCGTGTGCGCAGGTGAAGCGCACGCTAGCGGCCAAGGGGGTGTCTCGGGAGGTGTCACAATACATGGAGGACCTTCTGGTGCAGGCAAGCCCCTCTTTCTTCCCTCCTACTTTCCACCCTCGCCAGCGCCAGCGCGGCTACCAGCCCTGCCTGGCTGCCTGGCTCCTGTGTGCGACACAGGCGGCGCCACGCGTGCACCGGCTTCCATTGCCGCCAGCGCCTCGCTCCTCTCCGCCCCCGCTCTCACGCCTGCACGCGCGCACGCTGCCTTGTACCGCAGGAGCACCAGCAGTACCACGAGGTACTGGTGGCGGAGGAGAACAAGCGCAAGGCGCTGCTGGACATTGTTTATGGGCTGGAGGTGAGCGGCGGCGCTGGGCGGTGTGGCAGCTTTGGCGGCATGGCGTGTTGGGTTGTGCGGTGTGGTTGGGGGGTTGGCGTTTGGGGTACATGTGGGGCAGGCTTGCGGGTGGGCAGCGAAGCGTGTGGGTTGCCGTGGGCCGGAAGGTCTGTGCGACTGTGATGCTTGAGGGCAGCGGGGTGAGGGGCCGGCCGGCGCATGCGTGCGGCCTCGAAGCCGCCGGCCCCGCCGCCGGCGCGCAGAACGAGAAGCGGCAGCTGGAGACGGCGCTGGTGGTGGAGGGCACGCAGGCGGCGGCCATGAAGCACCGCCTGACCTCGGGTGAGGGGGGGTGGGCGTGAGGCGGGGCACCGCGGCGGGCTGCCGGGCGCCTGTCTGCCTGCCTGCCTGCTGACCTGGCAGCTGACCTGGGGGCTTCTGACCTGGCAGCTGACCTGGCAGCTGCCATGTGTGGGCAGCTGTGTCGGTGGTGTGTGGGCAGCTGTGGGAGCCGCTCGGCTGTATGTGTGGTGCTCGCCTGGCCTCTGCCGCGCGGGCGGCTGACGTGCGACTTGCGGCACTGCGTGTGTGTCGCGTGCGCCCCCGTCCCCAGGCGCCGCCTCTGACAGCGAGGAGCAGCTGACTGAGTATGAGCGGCAGGAGTCTGGCGTGGTGGGCAGCCCCGGCAACGGCGAGGAGGAGGAGGAGCAGGAGAGCATGTCGTCAGACGCCGAGGATGTGAGTAGCGGCGGCGGCGGCGCGGCAGGCAGAGCACCTGCTGCACATACGCCGCGGCCGGCCGGCGCTTTTTGCCCTTGTTCCTGCGGGACGCTTGGCTGGACGCTTGGCTGCTCGGCGGGCGGGCAGGCTGAAGGCCGTGCCTATCAGAGGGACAGCAGGCCGGTGGCAACCTGTGCCGGTGCCCCGTACCGCACCGTACCGCCTCAGCTGTGCTGCCTGGGGCCTGCCGCCGCTTGCTCCCTCTGCAGGAGTTTTATGAGTGCGAGTCTGGCAGCCTGGCGGGCAGCGCCTCCCACCGGCACAGCGGCAGCGTGGACCTCACCGGCTTCCTGGCGATCGAGGCGGAGGGCAGCGGCGGCGGCGTGGT